TCTGTATACACGTGCATTTCCTGTAAATTGAAACAAAATCGAACTCTACATCTTTAACGCCTACATTGCGGTCGAGTTGATCATTCGAACGATCGTACTAAGGAACGACAAACTTACGTTTGGTCATTCCAACGACAAAATAACACTAAGAACCAGTAAACATAAGCAATATAATTAATTCTGGCTAAACCGCGAAATGAGCGTAAGGTAATGTATTGGTATAGTAAAGCGCCTTAGAAACTACATGACAAAACTTTAAACAAAATCGAGAATATTGTGCCCATCAGAATATCTAACGCCAGAGAAAAAACTGTTCAGTTTAGTTTAAATAGGTAAAAATATTGGCTAACTCTAACCGGTTCATAAATGTAATTGGATCATAACGTAATCCGGAAACTATTGTTTTAAAGTTCAGTTTCAGTTCAAGAAAATTGCAGCCACCTGATAACAGATTTATCAATAAATGTAAGGAAGCCACCTGGATTTCTTTGATACCAGGAGGGATCTTAAAAGTAGTGACACCTGTGGCGAATCACTTAATTTAGTTAATAGATGGAGGAAATCAAAATTAAGGTGGAGGTGAATAAATTAATTGAAAGCAAGCTGGGAATTATTTTTCGCACTCAAAAAAAATCTAAATTGACGCTTTTCGGCACTTAAATCAGCTCATCAATAGATGTGGAGGAAACAACTGGGTTACAGAGAGGCAGAGAAGTATTAATTAAAAACAACCACAGAAATCACAATGTTGAATTTAAACTATAAATTATAAAGCGTTATTAGACTCAAGTCCTAAAAAATACTAGGCAATTATAATAAAACTCCAAGCCGTTTCAGGTTAAAATTGAACCGCGGTGCTAAATTTTAAAAAGGACTGGATAATCCAAACAGTGGCGGCGCTAGGGGTGGTCGAGGTTGCCAAAACCAAAATTTGTCTCGCCCAACCACTTTTAATAGCAATATAAATAATTACAATTTCAAAAAATCAGATCAAATTCGACACTATTGATAGTGAACGTGAAAACATTCCGAGTTGTTCGGGGATTTAAACGTACATTTTTAAGTACTTAATATTAATAAATTATTTTCTCATATCTATTATCATCTAAATATGGGTACTTCATACTAGGACAAGAGTCAAAGATTTTCATATAGAAGAAAAAGAAATAATTGATTTGTCTCTATCGCTACCTGAACTTTCAAGACAGCCGGTCTTAGCAAGTTTTCCTCAAAAACAGTATGGTTGTGATCTTCGTAGTTTAAGTCCAGTTATTATATCATGTATCCTTGGATTAAGTACAGCATTCTCAAAGATGCTGTATTCCGTTTTCTCTTGTTGATTTTTTGTCAAACAAGGGCGAACCAGCAGTTCAAGTTTTGTTATCTAAAGCTACAAGAACTGGAAAAGGGTTGCAGAAACAAAAGCTGAATTTAAAAACATTATTTAGTACATTTAATCCATTTTTTTAAACTTAGAACGTTTATTTCTTTAGCTAACCATTACCAATCTGATGTAGTTTCAAATGAAAACGAGATAAAGTCATTGCCAGCTACCACTAAGAGATATGAAGTCACAAATAATCTAAAAATAAACACTTTAACAGATATCACACTTTGCAAGATTTTAGTTTAGTCTTCCATGAAATTAATAAACTTTGTAATATTGCAATGATAGTACCATCTTCTAGTGCAAGTTGTCAAAGATCTTTCAGCAGTTTAAAGAGAATTAAAAATTATTTAAGAACAACTATGAATCAGGATAGGTTTACTGACTTGGGCATTTTATAAAGATATTGCAAATAAATAGATTCAGAGTTAATTATAGGTTCGTTTGGTGCTAAGAATAATAATAGAAGAATACATCTTCTAATATTCTGCGAGAATAACTATTTCATTATTGAATTATTACACTGGCTTATTAAAGTTTTGTTCAATGTTTATAATGTTATTTCTTAATTTAAATATTTTTAATCCACTTTCGTTTAGTGAAAGGAATTATTCAATTAAAAAAATAGATGTGTTAATAATAATTTTTATTACAATACTAGTGTTGTAGCGAATTTCATTCAGCATTTGTTTCCAACATAATAACATTTAAAAAAATGTTCACAATAGTGAAATATATTTTTGTATCATTTATTTGTTGATTCTATGAAAGTATGTAAAATCTGGTAAAATATTTGTATTGTAAATTCATATTGGGACACTCAAGGCATTGTCAAATTCTGTTAGCTCCGTGTTTCACAAAAAACATGTCGCTTGTATGTTAAATAGAAATAATTAAAAAATATTTTATTAGTTCCAATTACAGTACAATTAAGTAAAATTAAGCAACGGCAACAGTCGAAACTTTTTTTGTGTCTCCCTCCCATGGTTCTTGAACTGGTGCTCCTGCTGCATTTATACTACCTGGTGCCTGTGGAACGAGGCTGGGGGGGGCGTATTGCACCAGGCGCGCTACTCTCGGTTATATATTATTTATTAGAAGTTTGGATGTCTAGTTTAGGTTTTCCGTGGGAAAGTAATTTAGTGATATGTTATGATAATCATCTAAATTTAATTAATAACATTTTTGTAATTAATCTTATATTTTTTTAGTTTGCGTCTATAATCGGTTTACTGCCGCCCTATTTTTGTCGAAATGCTTTGACCATATTAGATGTTGCTATTTTGTGGGTAATGTTAATTTAATTGGCATATAAAGAAAAGTGGTCCCTTTTGCGACAGATTTTTCGCAGGTTTATGTTTATTGTGATATTCAAGCCTCGTGTCACGCAGTGCATTTGTGGATTTTATTGTTTCTAAAATAATTTGAAAGGATGTAAATTTAGTAGAACTATGCATTGAACATTTGGAGAGAGTATTGGATAATTCATGAGGTATTCTAAAGTTTTGCGATGTTTATAATATACAGTTACCTGTAGCACTGTATTGCATTTTCATTTAATTTGACTTGTAGAAATGTTCCTTCAGCTCGTGTCCTTTATCTGCCATCAAATGTATCAAATTGTCACGATTTTGGCTTTAAATAATAAGATTCAATCACAAAAGCATTTTGTAATGAAGTGTATGTATTGCATACACACTTTATCCAGTGTATACACACCCACTTCGTCCCCTTAAATAATAAGACGTCCATTGGATTGACACGACCTGATTCATTTACAATATTCCATTAGAATGTTTACTCGATCGCTATTTAATTGCCTCGGTTACTTTCAGTGGCCTGTTCCTTTGCATCAATATAAAACTGATATGCCATGTTGTTGATTAGTTTAGAACAACAACATGAGGTAAGACCAGCTTTGTTTTCGGATGCAAACAATACAAGTGTAGTTAGGTTATCGCGACATTAAGTTAGGAAGACAAAGTTCAGTTTTTCCAAATTTAATTATTAAATAATTAAAGTTATCCAGTTATTAAATTAAGTTAATGCAAAAGCTATAATTTATTGACGAAAGTTTCTTATAAGAAATGTGGAATTATCAATCAAGCAGCGGGTTGCCCAGTGAGCACATCAGCCTGTTTAATTAAAACAGGGTTTCTATAAAAAAAGCGTATGTTATGCTTGCAGCTATTATAAATTAGACACGAAAATGAGTATTTACATAAACTAGTTGATATAACCCCAGCCAGCATTAAAGCTGATAATCACATAATGGTAATGAACAGCAAAGGCGCTAATTGTGTCACGTCATATTGACGTATTAATCGCGGCAAAAATACGTTCACCTAAAAGCCATAAAATATCTTGTAAAGGAGGGTTTTGGTAGTTGTGGCTATATTGATATGTTCAGAGTTTCACATTGAGTTCTTTGTGCTCTACTGAAACATTCCTACAACTTTTCTGTAGTTTAATATTAATATAGTTAGAAACGCGAGGAATACAATAAACATAATGTTTAGTTTAACTATGTTAATCTAGATAATCTCCCTATAAATTGAAGTAGTTCTTCACACTCTTCCGCTGTGACTCTTTTTGTGATTAAAAACGTAGGTCGCAACTAGGACCTAGAGTCACGTCGTCCCGACTTATCTATACATATTTTCCCAAATGTCACCTATGCGAATAAGAGAACAATTCGACCTGATAATCACCTCACATTGTCAGTGAGTGCGATGGTTGGTAACACACCAGACGTTGTTCATCCAACCAACCAATTGTGCTTTTTCAACTGAAGCTAACACTTTAGTGCTACTTTTTGATCGAATTCTTCTCCTTTATTTTTACCAGTTACTCGATTTTGCCCAGGGGCTCGTGGGGAGTTATTTCCGCTGGAACTCTGCAGCTGCTTATTATTTATAGTGCTGTGAATATTTGTAGAAGGGAGGGATGCAATTTTGGAATATCCTCTTGGACGTCGAAATCTTCATCATCTATCTAAGCATTTTATCAAGATAATATTGCTCAAAACAGAGATGATGGTTGTTGATTTTATGATATGTAATGTAACTCTATAGAGGTCAATAGTTTCATTGATGTTCTCAAAAGAAATATTGTATATCATATATGTGTATGAAGAAACTCTGGTGTGTTGTCAATGACGCTGTAAATTTTACCAGAAGGTCTTCCTACCATACAAAAATCCAGCATTTTCAGCTTCTACTGATAACCTACGGGTTCTAACCACGATAATTTTTCTACTTCCCAAAGCTGCGGACCCTTAAAGTCGCGAGAGACCTTTGAAAATTGAAACATAATATGACTGGTTAGTACTTTAATGAGAAAGTTATAATGACGGCTTGGTGGCGATGACTTCTACATTACAAATTGATAGCTCATATGGAAGTTTTGATTAAAACTTGATGGGGTTCTTATGTAGCTTACAGTTCGTGATATCTTATTTCCGTCTTCGAACTACTGTTTAAATATTTCAGGAGTTGCATTTTAAAGTATTGATTGAGTGGGTTTCGCAGTAAATTTCTGGGAATTTTATAGTTAGATAAAGAAAAATCTTAACAGTAATTTTTTTGGTGTTAAAATTATTTTTTTCTTTCAGGAAATGATGAGCCCTTCGATCTGTATTACGACAACGAGGATGAAACTGAAAGGCCGAGAATTACAACATTCATTCAATCTCTTGCAAATTATGCGAATACTATCCCTTCGCCTAATACTGACCAGGAGGGTGAATGTGCAACTGCCCCTGTCAAGAGTGCTGAAATGGGTACCCTTATCGGAGTTTACTTGCCTTGTATTCAGAACATTTTTGGTGTAATTTTATTTATTCGTCTTACTTGGGTATGTTATACTAAAATATCATACAGAACACACGATACAAATGCAATGGTGGTATTTTAGGTTGTAGGAACGGCAGGAGTTTTATGTGGATTTTTTATTGTCCTTACTTGTTGTTGTGTGACAATGTTAACAGCTATTTCTATGTCTGCAATTGCTACTAACGGGGTGGTACCGGCAGGAGGGAGTTATTTTATGATATCTCGAGCGATTGGACCAGAGTTTGGCGGAGCGGTGGGCATGCTGTTTTATACTGGTACCACTTTAGCTGGTGCTATGTATATTGTGGGTGCCGTGGAAATTATACTAGTAAGTTATATTTTATATACTATTAGAGAACAATTGATTTCCGATAATAGTTTGCTTTTAAAAGGTAAATTGTTATTTAACATATAATGATAAATCACAATTAAAACTTGAAAATTTTATTGCGTTAAATAAAAGATGAATTTATTTTTAATATACAGAAATTATGAACTGAAGTAAATATTAAATTATAACTGGAACAACATATATAACATATGTAATATAACAATATGTAATTTCCATTCGGCAAAGTGACATATTATGCATTTAACATGCATCGAGTAATTTCTCTAAATTATTCAAATGCGAAGCTTTTTAATGTGTAGTTTTAATTTGGCAAAACAAATGAACGCAAATGATTTCTAAACGGCGAATTGTTCTATTCTGTGCAGAAAATAAATTAGATTTATAATGCTCTCTCGCATTAAATTGTGTATTCTTATAGTCAGCCAAGTCACGATGGTTCACGTTGTTTATGCTAAAGAATCGAATTAATTAAATGTTACCGAATTGAAAATCAAATTCCTACGCTGTGTACCCTCCGAAGATTATCCAGCAAGGCCTTCAATTTATTACAGTTTTAGTTTACCCAAACTAAATATGTTTAAAAAAGATTTTTTTAGCGCATTGATTACTTCAACACATTACCGATGACTTGACTCTGAAGTATCTCAAATTGGAAGGAGTCTTGCTCTTGATAATGACGCTTCATTTTTATACTTCCATAATCCGTGTGTTGTCGAAAATCACTTGATTCTTGAAATGTTTTATTTTCGTTATATACAGGGCGTACAAAATTTTGAAATATTTTTTCAAAGTTATTAATAGTTGATATAATATTATTAATATTAATAGTTGAAAATACATTTTGCTAAAATGCAGTGCATCAAACTAGCAAAAAGGATACACGTTGCTTCTAATGTCTTTTACATTATTAATATGGAGCTTTGGCCTATATGAACGTCTAGAGAAATTTGGCTTAGGACACACATCTATACATATTTGAGTAATAAGACCACAAATATTTATTGACCTTTATTTATTTAAATAAATGTGTAATACACCAAAAAGCTGAATTACCCTTATTGAAGCTCTCCTGGCAAAGAAAGCAGGCGAACGCTGAGAGAGGCTTTGGACCATATTTTTTGTAACAACTTGAGCAGCGCGTAATTGACCGCGTGACAATTTTAATTTTTTTTTTTATTTTTTAACGATTAGACGATATTTGTGATTGATGTCAAATACCTTAACTTTATGCCCTGTTTGACATGATCTGTTTTTAATCTACTGTTAAGTTAAGTTAATACTCAAAAAGTGGGCCCATAAAAAATAGTGTTTTATTTTTGCCACCATCTATTGACCGAAAAACCCACAAACCTAAATAGGCGCCCTTTACTGATTATATTTTTAAAGTCTAACGCGAAGAACGAGAAATTTATCGCAGAAAGCGCCTCAGGTTCAGGTGCCAAGAATTGGCTGTTTTCAATAACATTTTCAAACGTCTTTAAAGGGCCGACGAGAATCATTAATAAGTTGCTTAAGTTGGATTTTCATTTGTTATTCTATTAAGCTTTGAGCTATAAGTGCTTTTGAAGACTTTTAAATTTTTGCTTGCAAAATTTTCAGCGTTTTCCTGTTTACTCTAAATTATTTAGAAGTTTCCTTGAGGGGTGAGAAATCGTTAGAGTGTCTTGCTAAAGTAATCTGTAAACACTATACACATTCAATCTAACAAGTTGCACTGTGTAAACAAAATAGCTACACAGCACTTAGAAACTGGTGTTTAACGCAGTCTAGAAGACTGCTTCTGTAAAAGGGATCATCGGGTGAGGAAAATTGTGCAGTATTTACTCGACGTTCAGATAAATTATCCATAATCTGCCTTTACCCAAGCCAGTAAGTGACGAAAATCTTTAACAGAAAGTGGAAAACTAACAGTTTGACAAAATTGGTTTTGCTTCGTGTAAATATGAAACCTAACAGAAGGCCACGAATTTGAATATTTATGCCAAATGGCTTTTAGATGGCACATTTTTGAATCTACCGATATGTAATATTTACAGTAACAAATTTTGAGGCCTGAGGCCTTAAACCTTACTAAGAACTTCTCGTGGAATCCAATATGCTGAAACTATAGGGTTTGACTCAAAATTAACGGAGATCCGAAGTTTTAAACTCCTTAACTTTGGCAAATACGTGGCGCTAAAAGTTAACATTTTGTTATTTTCTTCCAAAAATTATAAAGTTATTAATATGGAAGATAAAAAGTGAGAAGCCAGGTTAGACGTTTGGACCGATTTCTTATGTATTACACTGTACGCAGACTTTTTTTGGGTCTTTGCAAACATACATAATTCTTTTAGGTCAAAAAAATTCTAGATAATTCAATACGGGGCCATATGGATGGGCAAGCATGAAGCCTGTCAAGAACAATCATAGATATTTTCAAACTTGCTCTGCTCACTCTCTCATCTCACTCTGCTTGCGCTGATCGAGAAGGTTGCGGTGAAACTATACCGTGCTTAAACCCCTTGCCTCTTTTTAATTAAAGTCGGTAAAAGTTCTTCAAGCAATGTTCCGGTTATTGTCGGAAAATTAAAAACGAGATAGTTTAAGAGATCTAACATGAAAATTTCCAATTAACCACAACAAACATTAAGTTAAATTGAGTGTTGAAAGTGTTTGCTTTCAAATCATTGGGATTTTCAGAGTGCTACAAGTGACCACTTGGCCAATTAAACATTTTACAACCAGTACACATTTCTATCGTTCTCTTAGTTGAAGTCGAAAGTTGTTTTGCCCCAATAGCATGCCTTGGATTACATCTCCCTTTGATGCCAGAAAAATCTTATTTCAATTTTATATTTTCCGCCGTCGTCTTTAACTTGAATAAATTTGCCTCAAAAACATTGCTACGTTTACGTCCCTCCTAGATATCAATAAATTCGTATTTGTGCTTTATGTGCTATCTTTATTGTCATCTGAACCTCCTATCAATCAAAATACGACTTTCTGATAAAAGGTTTAATACTCCATCTCCATATCCATAAACCCCGTTTACTTCTTCCTCCGCATGAATATCCTGTTTCAAAGTCCTACTTCATGATTTAATTGGATGCATTCCATAATAGAAAAATTCTGATTTTCCCGTTAGATCATCTATGATACAAATAACAACAACAATAAGCAGCAAATAGTAAATATAATTTTATCACAGGATATATTCGCTTTGTCTGCCACTTTTTTGCATGTGCAAATGATCACTTTTAATTATTTTCCAGCCGAGTTAGTTACTTCGATGTTGAGTCAATTTTCCAAAAAAATTCCCATCCATTTGGGTGGCAGGTTTTTTATTATCAGCTAGCAATTGTAACATTTGCTTGAACAGTTTTAAAATACTTTTGAAATAGGAGATTTCTGCCTGGAATAAATGAACATAAATTACCTCATAAAACTATTTCTGAAGGCACCTGCTGATAAAATCCAAATGTTCTATTATTTCGATCATATACTTACAAATCAATAGAAAATTATTATAGCGGCAACAAACGCCCTATTTACTTCGCGTGTTCAAATGCAATTCAACATGAAATTTCAGTCAATTTCTCAAAATCAATTCAAGATTTAGAATGTTTAAGATGATGCAGATGGCTACAATTTTGCTCATTCTATGTGGCTTCAAACTGTTCACGTTCAAAGGTATCTTAAGGCTAATCTTTTCTTTTATAATAATATAATAACTTACATGTAGGCAAAATAACAGCCCTAACCAGCCCTAACTGTGTTTGCAAGGTGGGCATAGTTAGTTACTAGTACTAGTTTTAAACTAGTACTATAGTTAGTACTAGTTGAAATTTATATTAATAATATATAAACCTAGTCATTCGCAAAACCATAATTTATTTAGATACTTTTTGTTATGCATCGCTAATTTATGAAGTGAACTTTTGTGTTGTGCGGCAGATCATCTACTTTGCAATACATTTCTAGACCATATCCGCTTTTTGCCGAAGTTATCATTCTTCTAACAGCTTTAGTCAAATTTAACTTGTAAAAATTGATAGATTTGCTGCGTTTTTGAAGCTCTATTTAATTACGGATGAACCCATATTCCGCGATTACGCGAACATGGTGTTACTTTACGGACAAGTGCACTGTAATTGCAGAAGAGCGCAACAGCTGTATTTAGCTCAATTTCCCAATCAGCCAAAGCCATCGCATAGAGTGCTTGCCAGAGAATTTCAGCGATTGCAGGAAACCGGAATAGTAACAGTTAATGGGGCAAATTATGGAGATCAGAGAAATCGTTGAACCATAGAATTTGAAGAAGAGGTGTTTAATAGGATAGAACTAATTCCGTCCAGTAGTACTAGAACTACTACAAGACTAGAGAGTTAATCAAGCAAGCGTCTGGTATGTTTTGGAAGAACTACAGCTTCTCCCTGATCATCTCTACTTTACTACTAATAAATATTATGAACATAATTTTCTCTGAGCAGTTCGTACAACGTTGTAAATTAGATGCGGAATTTCCACGATGCATTCGTGTTTCTTGAACGAAGCTACCTGGATTTTTGGGTTTGCATAGAATCGTATGGTATTGGAGCTGCCAACGTGCAACACAAGTTGAGAATCAAAATGTACTTGATGGTCAATTAATTGGACCTTCCATATCGTTCTAACTACTTTTCCCAGTTACTTACACTTTGCTTTATAAAAGTCCCGAAAAGTTTGCCCCAAATGCTTGAAGAATTGTTCACAAACACACTATTTGCAAGCCGTTTGAGAGCTAAAACAATCATTCAGGGGAAAACACAATGCAATAGAGAACTAGTTGCATGGCCACCACACTCTTACGAACTAACGCCTCGCGACTTTCTTTCAAATGGAGATTCTCTTATAAATATGAAGAATCATGTTTATAAGAAACCCGTCCGTTCCGAAGAAAAGGTGGTACCTTGTCTTCGAAATAGCCAATTAAGATATGATTAAATGAGTCGTTTTTGCCGTGTTCGCCTAATTTGGGCATAACATAAAAATTTAGCAATAGCTCTAAAGCTCATTATAACTGTCAAAATTCAACCCTCTGTATGCCGGATATGTTTGCAACACGCATTCATTGGCACCCTTTATGAGCTGAAAATATATAAATTTGATTTATATAGTAGAAGTAGTTTTCGAAAAGGGAGGAATACAAAGATCAAATTATTCCAGCTGAATGTTAAGTTATGAAATGTTTCAAATATATTAAAATTTTCATTGTGAGTTAGAAAATATAATTTAGAACAACAGCTTTAATATTGTAACTGTTCTATCGGGTGGTACCATAAAGAATGTAAGGTACTCATATGGAAATCTGTACAGGATTTAATGTGAATCTAAACTGATCTTGTATATGCAAACTCTATTAAAACCAAGCCCGATTAACTTACTGCATCCTGCAATGAAGTGAAATACCAAAAGTATTGATGTGACACGAATGAAATGTTCTGAATGTATTTTGAAGCAGTTGCTGAGGAAACGATAAACTTGAAGCAGACGCTAGTAGACGAGTTTTCATTTATCTTATTGCTAAATACATTAATTTTACTGGCGCCGCCCATAAAATACAAACAGATGCGGACTGCTGACGTACATAAAGTTTTTCATACCTACTGTCTCAATAGATTATTTGCCTTGACTTGTCTTTTTAAATCATGTTTCTTGTTCCTCCAAGGAACCCCGACTAACCTCTGTATAGAAATCTGAGTCTGCAAATTAAATTCGTCTAGAAGACTGAGGTACTCCATATTCAATATCTACGGCCCTTTAAATGGACATTTGTATAAAATGGGTTTTGGGCATGCCAAGAGTTAATTAACAGAAAACATGTTTTATTTTTAGGTTTATATGGCCCCGAAGCTAACACTATTTGGGGATATAAATGACGACTTCGTAAAATTCAATAACTTTAGAATCTACGGGACTTGCCTCTTGGCCATAATGGGGTTAATCGTCTATGCAGGAGTGAAATTTGTTAACAAGTTTGCAACTATAGCCTTGGCCTGTGTAATCTTTTCCATAATTGCTGTCTACGTTGGTATTTTCAAAAATGTTCATGGAAGCGACGCACTTCAGTAAGTTGATACATTTTGAGGCTGCAGTGGGAAATGCGTTATAGTTCACCTAGCTCAATGCACCATCTGAAAATTAATTTTTCCAGAATCTGTGTACTTGGACGACGCTTACTAAGAATAGATTCGACTAGTGACTGTACAAAAAATATTTCCGGACCCTTGTACCAAGAGTTCTGTCCCAACAATACTTGTTCTTCCTACTGGACAGAAAACAACCTTACTTTAGAGCGGGGTATTAAAGGCTTAAGTTCTGGAGTATTTTTTGGTAAGGTTTGCCAAATTAATTTACAACTTTTTCTACTATTTATTCTCTATTGTAGACAATATTCAGCACAGCTTTCTAGAAAAAGGACAGTTTATAGCGAGAAACAATCTTCCAGCGGATATAGAAAATATTTCAGATAATACCTACTCCCAAATAATGGTTGATATAACAACCAGTTTTACTATTTTGATAGGTATTTTCTTCCCATCCGTAACGGGAATCATGGCAGGGTCAAATCGTTCAGGTGATCTCAAAGATGCACAAAAATCTATACCCGTCGGTACAATATGTGCCATTTTGACTACATCTACTGTTTATCTCAGTGCAGTAATACTTTTTGCTAGTACAGTAGATAATTTACTTTTACGAGATAAGTAAGTACGCAATACTATAATAAAAATATAGTGTGCAATGCGATATATTTTTTTAGATTTGGAAGTTCAATTGGAGGAAGACTAGTGGTAGCTAATATAGCATGGCCGAATCAGTGGGTTATTCTTATAGGTTCATTTCTATCTACTTTAGGAGCCGGCCTACAATCCCTCACAGGAGCTCCCAGACTTCTTCAGGCTATAGCAAAAGACCAAATCATTCCTTTCATTGCTCCTTTCTCAGTTTCGTCTGGCCGTGGAGAACCCGTTCGAGCATTACTCGTCACACTGGTAATTTGTGAATGCGGAATCCTATTGGGAAATGTTGATATTCTTGCTCCTCTTCTCTCCATGTTCTTCTTAATGTGTTACGGATTTGTTAATCTCGCATGTGCTGTGCAAACCTTGTTAAGAACTCCAAATTGGAGACCTCGGTTTAAATACTACCATTGGGTTCTTTCCTTTTTGGGATTGTCTCTTTGTATTGCTGTGATGTTTATGACTTCGTGGTATCTTGCTTTACTTGCCATGGGTATGGCAGGTGTTATTTACAAATACATCGAATACCGAGGGTAAGATTTTGATTTAATTTACTACTTTTTCTAAGTACTATCATCCACCATTCCAGTGCTGAGAAAGAATGGGGAGATGGAATCAGAGGTTTAGCTCTATCTGCAGCCAGATTTTCACTGCTTCGCTTGGAGGAAGGACCTCCACACACCAAAAATTGGAGACCTCAGATTTTATTGCTGCTGAAATTCACCCCAGATTTGGAATTGGAACATAGAAAGTACGTCTCCTTTGTCTCTCAACTGAAAGCTGGCAAAGGGCTCGTTATATGTGCATCCGTTCTTGCTGGAGACTACAATGCTATAGGAGAACAAGCCATAGCTGCCAAACAAGTCCTACAAGGAGTAATGGTAAAAGAAAAAGTTAAGGGATTTGCGACTATTCTGGTAGCTAAACATATTGCCGAAGGACGCTCCAACTTGTAAGTATATTTCCGTATATATTAAGTATTTCTGCTATATTTCTTATTTGAGCCATGTATAGATTTTAAAACTTCACAATTTGCTTATATCTGCAATTTTTTTGTTTTGTATTAAATGCAATAGTGCATTAAACATGCAGTGCACGGACGGATATTCATGTCTCATAAAATCATTTTGGATCGATTCCACCCACAGCTTCATTTGCACAATCCATTAGCATTTAATGGAGATAAACACCCATCCACACTAGTTACAAAAATAGGTATTAACAAAAAACACATTTCTCGTTTATTTTGTTTAGCTAATTTAATGCACGCACCCGAATTGAGATACACATAATAAAGTTAAACGCAAAAGAAAAAAATTACGGAAGGTGACGTGCAATGTAAAGTCAACTCGCAATAAATCCTACACGTGCTGCATATAGTTGCTGAACTTCCGGGTATTGCAGGTGCAGTAGCGGAAATATGACTGGGACAAACGATAAAACGTCCTGAACTGTTGGGCTCTCAAATCTCCGAAAATATATCTTTCACTGCAGATTTGGCGACTTAACAATATCCATCATTAACGTTATTGACCACTTTTCTGGGGCCTTCATATTGACAGTTTCAAGAGATAAATTTAAGTTGGTCTCAACCCAAACCAGACGATTGAAACTTCAATCGTAACGAGTCTTGAGGGCATAACGGGTATCGCAAGCACGAGCAAAATAGTGGCAGATCATCTATATTTTTACAATAAACAGCTCCATTTTTCATAGTTCACTTTAAATAAATTTTCCACCAATATAAACACCAATGAAAAGGGAAGAGATAGACTTGATCGAGCCCCTTGAAATTGATATAAAATGTTTCAAATTTATAGACAATTATTTTTAACTTTGCCCTAATGCAGAACTGCTCACACATAGCTAACTTTATAAGCCAATATTTGTCCCTCCAGGGTACAAACCGCGGGTCTTGGAGGCTTGAAACCAAATACAATCATTTTGAGTTGGCCCTATGGATGGAGAGATGATGCTGATGAAGAACAAGCATTTGAACATACTGTTCGTACTTTAACTGCTGCCAAGATGGCTTTGCTTATACCTAGAGGCATTGACTTCTTCCCTGATAACACCCAAAAGATTAGTGGGTACATTGATATTTGGTGGATCGTGCATGATGGAGGATTACTGATGCTAATCCCATTCTTATTGAAGCAGCATCGGGCATGGAAAAACTGTAAATTGAGAATATTTACCGTGGCGCAATTCTCTGATAATTCTATTCAGATGAAGAAAGATCTGAAAACGTTCCTATATCACCTAAGAATCGATGCCGAAGTTGATATTGTCGAAATGGTAGGTATTCGCTTGATTTCAAAATAACTTCTTCCTGAACGACTCATTTGTGCTTGTAGTCTGACAAAGATATATCTGCCTATGCTTATGAAAGAACTTTAGTAATGGAACAACGCACTCAAATGATAAGACAACTTCGCTTAAACAAGAAGGAGACCTTCGGAATGGTAAGTTTTTGTTCCTTTTCAATTTTTTATACCTCGTTTCATACAGTGTGAGTCAAAATTCACTTGCGGGCTCAAATATGAATTTTCGTGATCTCTGTAAAACACTAGACATAAATTAAACCCGTATAAGACTTCAGTTTCTTTGACAATAAATGATCGGTATCCGTACAACTAATCAATATTGAACGTCGGAAACGAACTTTGACGGTTTTTTACTACCGTTTTAATAATTGAAGTCTAAGTTTCCTGTAGTCAAATTTGGGTATTAAATTCTATTTTAGACTCTTACTTTAAAAAACTGCCTCTTACTTAAAAAAAAGTATTAAGATATCTAAAACTAAAGCCACTGAATGATATATAAGTTTAACTGTATGTACTAGTTTAGTTTAGAAGATGGAGTTAAAAATGTGTTGCCTCCAATGGCAATGATCCACCAGATTTGGTATCCAAATATTTTTCCTTTCCTTAGATCGCTTGAAACTTTGAAATTTAAAATTGGTCTACAAATCGAATTTTAAAACTATCCGAAATTATTGGCAATAACGACAAATGGTTTTCGCAGCTCAGCTAAGTACAAAAGCTTTTCAATTTACTTCAATTAATGGTTTTGCTTTCAGAACATTGTATCTGTAATTCCTTAATATTAAGTGGATATAAACGCTTTTCTTTTTTTAAAAACTTGCTTAAATACGGGGATGCTTTTGTTGATTTAAATAATTGTTTTCAATCGTGTCACAGGATAAATGGAACAAAAGTTCAGATAGTAAAATTTCCAAAAAGTTTGACTGCTTTTTTTTGATAGAAAATCAACAGAGAGAAAAAATGTTTTAGCGCACAAAAATTGACTCTTGTAATTTGCGCAATAAAATTGTCCCAACGGCGAATAAAATGGACCGCCAATGATCTACCCACTAAACAAACGGAGACCATAATAAAATAACTGCCGTGCACGTACTAAATATAGGCAACTAAGCAACTGAAAACATCGAACTTGCCGTGCACGAACCATAGGATTGCACTTGGAAAACCGTGAATCGGCGAACAGAATTGTTGAAGTAAGCCTTCCACCGAAAAATGTACTTTGATATTAGAAGCCTCAAACATTTTTTTAAAAATTCGGGTCTTTGCGTTCTTGACAAAAGGTTTTTGGAATCAATAGGTCCTCAATAAAGTGATTTTAAGAATGATTAAATTTAAATGAGTTGTTAAGAAGGGAAACTGAAAATTTGGGAATGCCCACGCACTAGTGCACTTTTTGAGGGACGGCCACTGGGTGTTTTATAAGCAAGAAACCAGAAATAAATGCTAATATATTCGAAAAATATATGTTCGGAGAAAAAAGTTCTATTTTATTTTGATTCATAGAACAAACAGCGGGTTGAAATTAAGACAAACTTTCAAAAAATATAACTTTTTTGGTTTTATACGCCATAGAGGAAATAGTTTCTGCTTAATAATTTCCAAACACGAGTGACTCGCATTCTCGAAGGTCTGAGGAGAGAGGGGTAAGGTCTACACCTCTGAGGATGCAAGCCACGCCTGCTTCCGAAACGTAAGCAAAGAAGACAGTTACCTATACAGCCTAAAAGCTCATCAGTTTCAAGCTATAGCCGCGAAAGCCTAACTCTCTAAATGGTGAAAAACTGTTTTAAAGCAATGTTAACATGAACTTTGCAGACATTTTTCTGCCACATACTGCAGCTCTTAGAATAATTTAATAAATTACCTCCTGCTAGTGCTCTGAACTTGAACTGAAAGTTATACGATAGAGAAAATTATGTTAAGACCTTACGGTAATATTAGTCAATTCGAGATTTTTAAATAAGTTACATTGTAAAATGAGATAAACCGTACAAAGCTATTTATGAACATACACTCACAGAACGGATTGTACCACAGTTGAGAAAAAACCATCATCGTCATTAATTAATATTTTCAGATGATTTTAAAATCACGAAATTCTTGTTGTTTGATCTGAAAATTATAGGATATTCAGTCAAACTAGGTATACACGGTGTTTGTTCCATGATTCAAAATTAAATCGTTTTTTCGCACAAAATACCTTTTGCATCCTGAACTATACTATACGCACTTTATTGAGGATTATTTTTGCAAAATTTCATATGAAACTTCCGCTTGAGCATGGAATGATGCTGATAAAACTGTGAATAACATTCCGATTTCTGTGATATATAGATTTCTGTGATATATTCAGGTTTAATCTCGGTAATTTCAGAAAACGATAAACAAGCTAAAATAAGGTCCCTACATGATATAAAAATGTTCCCTAAATCACATCGAGATACTTAAAAAATCTATATTCGCTTAGGTTATATTAATATGGATATTATAAACAAGTTGTGCCGGAAAGTGTCTTTGGATTCATATGCAGAGTGCCAAGGCAACATGGGAAGTTCCTACATAGAAATTGTCTTCTTGTATATATCTTTCATATGTCAAGGTTTCAAATTATACAAGTTATTTAATAAAAACCCATCTTTAAGAGCGTGTTTTAGAAGCCTTTTAGAGGGTTGTTGCTGTGAAGGGCGTGTATAATTTTTCTTACTATGACATACATACGCCTGTATATGTACTGTTTCTGTTACTTCGTTAATATCAACATGTAAGAGGTATAGTTTTAAATAACCGTTATATCGTTATACCGAATATATCGTTAGAAGACCGAGAAGTGAATGTTGCCTCAGTCTGAATGATGCACAAAATTATGGGTATTAATTATGATACGCATAATGAAGATGAAACCCTACTTGACAATATTATGCAATAAGAGTAAAACAATTATTTATATTCTTCGTTTTTAAAGGCGCTTACGAATGGTGGATTAGAAGAAACATTACCTCTGGTAAAGTGGAACATGTTATCATGGATTAATTGTATTCATATCCATACATATCTCTCTTTTTGTTCATTGCGTTCGATTTAGTCAAATTCGCATCATTTAATTATACTACATTTTCATGTTTCGCAAGCACATTTGAATGTTTTCGCATCCTCGTTAGTTTTGACGTTCATTTGAATTGATTGTACATTTATCACACTCTTCATACATTAATTATTGCTGGAAATAATATCATTCTTTAGCTGTGCTTTAAAATTTAGATTTGTATGTAGATACGATAACGATAACGATTAATGATTTAATTAAATTGCATATTATTTAATTTCAATGGGATGTAATCTCAAAAAAAATTGCAAAATTCATTAAAATCAGTCTAAATACTGTTCTGGTAATCTAAAATTAGGAATTTGACGGTAAAGTTTCGTTATTCTGATGGCTACTTCTGAAGAATACTCTTCTTTCTATTGTTGCAAATACTTTTTCTTAGATAAAAAATTATTATATATGTTACATTTTGTCATTGCGTTTTTGGTGTGCTTTAGTACAAATTTCGCAAATGTACAAAAATTATATATTTTGTGAGATTTGTGAGTATATGATTTTCAAAATATTAATATATTTTAAAAACTGATTTCAAGTTTAATCTAAATTTTCTACATTATAATTACTTCAGTAATAAGATGGTAGATGACAAGAAGATTTATAAATTAGTGTCTTAAATTATCGTACCCAAAGAAAACTATCGGTATTTAACCAAGATTGTTTGCACATCGATATATGTAAATATAGAGCGATTCTGGAGCCTGTAACGCAACAAGCACATCTACATTTGAGGAATTCTCCTTTCAAATTTTTACCAATTTGTAAATATTCCTTGCAATGTGCAGCATAGGTAGACATCATTGTCCTTTATATTTTTAATTAAATTGATTTATTGGTAGTTTTTAGGATTAATTCAGTATTTTCTAAATCTTTTTTCTGTCCTCATGCTGAATGAAATATGTATATATTTTATGTGCTTTATTAGTTCATTGCCGACAATAATAAATAAAAAGTAGGATCTAGTTGTTCGTGGATAGCAGTAATTTTATGCATTTCCCAGTTTTTTATAGTTTATTTAAAGTGCATCTTTTATTTTGTATATTTGCTAAACTTTTGTATTTCATTTCCGTTTCAGAGTCTTCAGAAATTTCCGCTGTTTCCACCACTATTTTAACGAAAGTTTTATAAATATTATACAGGGTGTTCCTAAACTAATATGAGAAAATGTATGGGCATATTCTTTAGGCAAATATTGTGTTTCCGACAAATTTGTCTCATTCGAAAGTTAATGGTTTCCGAGATACAGGGTGTCAAAGTGTAAATTAAATGTTTTTTATATATTCTAAACCCGCTTTACTACTACTAAAAAAATGTCGCTGGTGTATTTTTAGATTGGGAAATCAAAATTTTCTATTACTTAGCTTATGTTTCCTAGAGGCGCTTGCTGCAATAGACTAGAACCATTTAAAACATCAGATTTTTTTGGGTTTTAAAATATCGGTTTTTTGTTGGCAATATCTCGTGCTCCGATATTTCTTAAGCAAAAATTTGCATTGTGATCTAATCGATACTTTTACTGTCAGTTAAGTGCTAAAAGAAATATTTGAACTTCTACTAGGTACATTGAATTTATTGAAAATGTCCCGACATAACTTATTTTCGAATGAAAAATATATTTTTGGTGTTTATGCGCAAGTAAAATGTAAATAACACTCCCGAAAAAACAATTAATTTTTTTCAGTGCGACAGCCATTTATTATTAAAGAGTTAATAAATGTATTGAGGTCAGAGGAATTCTGAATTGAACAATTAATATGGAGTAACAATTTTCAAAAACTTTACGGAGTTTAAAAAGTGGATTAAAGTAGTTCTTAACGTGCTTAAATAAATTCTGTTTGATGTTTGTTAAGTTTTGCTTTATTCAAAATTTGAGAAGAATATTTCTTTTAATTAGARATCCGACTTGAATTACCTAGTTCAGAAAGTTAATAGAGGTTTCAATTTGAAATATCTCGAGAACGGAGAGAGATATCGGCTTGAACCAAGTACAGATTTTTTGTTTCGGAAATATCGGATAACGATATATGGCCAACAAAAAACAGATAACTAGTGGGTTTTTCGGGTTTTTGGRCCGTCGTAAAATGGAATTTCTTCCTGACGGTTTGCTTGAACGCTTACACTATTCTGACGAGCATTCAAGCAAACSACYTCTGAAGATGCAAACCACTCRTGCGTGCGAAACGTCAGGAATAAGTTCAATTTTACGACGGCCTAAAAACCCGAAAAACCCMCTAGCGTTAAGGAATGACCTAGAAAGTCTATCTCTTTTGAACAAACAGATATTTTRGAAAAAATAATAAAGCTGGTTGAAAATTGATTGAAAATAAACGAAAAATACTTGCCGTTCACAGTTGTAATCACATTAGTTGAAGACCGCCCTGTATATATCAATATGTSAATCCGCACAAAGCAAAATTCTACACACCCTAATTTGATGTGTGATTCTGAAGCCGTTTTGTATTGAACTTACCGTTATGTAAATTTACTTACTCATTTATTCTAAATCCTTTTATTTCTATATTTMTTAATTAAAAATGGTGATAGTAAATGTCGATATTTACAAATAATACTGCGCTTTAGATCTCACGATCCTCACTGAAAATATATCATCTATGCTTTCATTTAATCCACTTAGTATTCATCATAGAATTGAGATTTAAATGTAGTGAATGTTCATTTGAATCTGAAGTAATAGTGTATGTTACGATTTTAGAAAAGATGCTTGTAGTGAATCTCCATATAAAACAGCGCAAATTATTTTAGGTTCAATCTGTGGTTGACCAACACCATGCAGTGGAAAAGACGCCTTCTAAAGTGAGATTCCAAGATCCCAAAGTCACCGACGTTGCAAATAACAAAAAGGAAACCCTAGCAGATGAGAAAGAGGAACCTACAAATGAGGTAGGTGTATTACACCGTAAATCATTTTTACCACTCTTGATTATGTTGTTCTTAGCCGCTCGGTAATGAAGATTGTGACAACAGCAAAAAAGAAAAGGAAGACGGAGCCTCTGAGAAAGAGAGTCTTGAAAAGAATGGCAGTGAGGTAAACGAGAAAATTGGAAATGGCGATGGAATTTCATTGTAAGTGAAATTAAAAAATATATATTGTGGCACTAAATCAACCGAAAACAATATTCACATTTTTTTATTTTTAGTTCGATAATGCTTTTTTATGTAATTTTTTGCAAGTTTTCTCGAGAATCGATTGTAATAAAGAAATGATCAATGATGTTCACTTATTTTCAATATACTTAGTGTATATTTAGAAGTATTATATTTTTGTTAGATGAGTAAATCGAAATTTCATATTTAATTATTTCAAGTTGTTACGTTTCCCCTCTTAATTATGTCTGTTCTTAATTGCAGGGAGTCTGACACACTCAAACGTTTGCATACAGCACTGAGAATGAATGAAACAATTAGAGCTCTTTCTAAGGACTCGCAACTTGTGATCTTGAATTTACCCGCCCCGCCAAAGAGCAATGATCCAGGAAAGCAATCGTACTGTAAGTTTTTGTTTCCTTATTTTTTCCTTATTTTAATATTTTTCCCAAATCTCTCATTTGAATATCAAATCTACAGCCTTTGTTCTTGTGGTCCGAGAGATTTCAGCACTGATGTTGGCAAAACTGTATAAAAAGTTAACGGCAAATACCGATAAGGAAGATCTTAAATCTAAAAGATCTTACACCTAAGAGCGAGTTCTTGTAAATCCCCAGTTTATGATCTAAAATGTTTTGAAATTAGCTGGAATTATTTGAGTACAAGGAACGACATATTTGTTTAAAACTTTACAAACAAAATATTATTTCTTCAAAAATGTTTAATATTTAATAAAACTAGAAAAATCAGAAATCTCGCGGAACTTGGTAACATTTCATGAAAATGTTTCTATGTTTATTAATTGATAATTAGGTACTTTACCCACGACTCTTCAATATCAGACTTATTATAAATATAATAATCCTTATTACTCTCAAAGGAATAATGAGAGCATTACAGTCTCAAAAAATTAGCACAGTCTTAAAATATTCTGAAATTGTTGTCATCTGAACTTATTTATTAAAAAAAACAGTAACTGTTTCACAAGCTGACGCTTTACTGAAATGATCATCAAAATTGCTTTTTTATTTTAAACATATCTTTTCATTCAAGATAATAACAAATACAGTGAATATAACAAAAACTGTGGCTATAAACGGGTATGCATTACAAATTGCAATTTGCAACATCCAATTTCAAGTGTAGGGCTTTTGAACAAATCTTGAATATATTTTTTCAGTTATTAGCCGTGAATAACGTACATTCTAATACTGCGATCAGATGACCGTTAAAATTATCTATTATAGTATTATAAATAATAATGGCTGTGCCAGGCTGTGATGATGTGATGGAAGCCTCAAAAAATAATAATGTACACTTGCAAAACTGTTGCCAAATATTATGATTCGATGCGAGCTTAAAAGATTAAAATGTTCAGAGTTGTTCTGAACCAGAGAATGCAAATTTATGACAAAATGACTAAAAAAAAGTTATGATTCAGTTTGTATTCGGGTAAATTCTACACTTGTAAAATAGATCGTTAAGCGGACAAAATGGATAGAATTGGGACAGCCCAAAATTGACAATTTTGCCTCCCCTCTTCTAGGAAAATTACAGTGTAGTACACAGTAGAAAAAAGCAGTAATGACCCTGAAGAAAATTAGCACTAAATCCGTTGAGTGTTAAAAGTATCGCGAAGAAATTCAATTCCATTTGGGTTGGGGTTAACCCTTCTATAGTGAAAGGGAAAATAAAACCTATACCTCAGACAGAAACAGGGAGCTTTTTACTTTAAGGGAATTTTTAAAAAGAGAGATAGCAAACAAGGCATTTATTGACAAAATCATCTTTATAGCTGCATTCTGTTTTATATAAAACATTTTTTGGATAAATGTTTAATTTTAGCTGTGTCGGATATATTTTAATATAGCATCTGCCATTTACGCCTGCATTGCAATTTTGTTCCAGATTTGGATTTCTTGGAAGTACTGTCAGAAGGGTTGGAAAAAGTACTTATGGTGAGAGGTGGGGGACAGGAAGTGATCACCATATATTCATAATCAACTAACGAAGTTGATTTTTGACCGTTAGCCAAAACGCTGATACTAATAATACTTTAATCAAAGAGAACAGTACCGTAACATTAATTAAAAATAAGTTTTTAGGCGTTTGCTATGAGCTCTCAGGAATATTCGTTAGTGTATTAGTATTCACATGTTTTTATTAATTCATTAATCTGATTCAGAAGTTTGTCAAAATTATCCAAGAAGCAAATTTGGTTAAGCATAATTAAACTTAAAAATCCATTAATGTTAATTTTGCTTGCAGATAAATGCATAATATGAACATTTGAATTAGTTTCTTACTGAGAACTCAACAAACGAGATTTCAACCGTATATATAGTATATATAGTACAGCGATACATAAGAGGAATAGTGACTTAACTAACCAAAAAGTGTATTCTTCGTAATAGCGGTCGAATATATTCTCACAGATTTTTCTATCGCTGCAACTAGTCGTGATCTTGTAGTATTATCATACTGTCTTAAATCAAAATAATAACAGTTTATAAAGTGCTCATTTTTCTATGACAACTATACCGGCCAGATTTGTGAGTCGTATTTGTACACTCTTTCGCTCATATTTAGCTAAGTTCGTCTAGACAAAAATTCCTTTATGGGAATTGTTACTCTCAATAACTATCGTTTTTCTGTATACTCCATGTCTTCACTATTTAATTAGAGCTTATTTTGATATAGTAAACATTGAAGTGGTTACTTAGATGTTAACACAGACACGTTATATTCCAGAAAATGATAAAATTTTTAATCGTAGGTCACTTAAAAAATTACTACTAGCGTCAAGTCAAAAATGATTTGAACTTTAGTGCTAACATGCATAATCTTCAACGCATTTAACAGTTCCAAATATTTCCAAAGTTGAAATATATTACAGGTATCTAATAATTGCTCTAAAGTTAATTAGTCACGTATCAAATATTTTAAATTATCTAAGATCGCGTGATATCTATCTATGTTACACATTTATTTCTCACGTTGCATTGAAAAACATTCATTTGGTTTGAGGATGTTCAAGAATTCTCAAATAACGACTATGAGGTATGCAATAATTATTGAAATCCTTAAAAGATCTAAGCCAAAAGTTGATTCCAACTTAAAAATGTGTCAAACAAATATGTTGGTCTGAATATACCGTTCTATCAGACTACCGAACTATCAGAAGATCTTTAGCAAATCAACTTTAGGAAAATGTATATTAAACTTTTTAGAAATTTTTTATTTTATCTTCATATGTAACACGATGTTTACAATTAGGAACACATATTTAATGCGTAAAAACTGTACTTAATTACAAAATCCATATGGTAAGAATTTGAGCAATATTAACAATATAGTATGTATTAAAGTACTCTGTATTAACTGTCAAATTATGTGTGATAGAATTACGTACATAATCTCTTTCGCACTGTAGGTATTAAAATTGTTAAATATTTTCGATGTTCAAGTACTGCAGGGTGTTACCTATATTTCAACGATGCGCATTCCATATTAGCATCTATTTTTATATATTTAAATGATATATTTATTACGTAGTTCTTAGTGTTAATTTATCGTGTTAAATCTATTTCCAAATTTTTAACTATTTAGTATATACATACAATGTTAACAATGCTACTAGTTATTTTTAATTCTACTCAAGTCAAATCACAAATTGTTTTAAATGAAAAGTTTTATCCACGTTGAAATTATATTGTAGTCTAGGATCATATAAGTATTATTGTTGTCGTTAGTCGATTTATTTGGAACACCCTGTATATATAAGTAGACGATATTATTTACGCCCCCTCTAAAAGGAAAATGGCAAACAGCTTTATACATTATAAATCGGACCGCGTTTTTCTGTGCATCTTATTTAACTTTCGGATAGGCAGTCGACGAATGATAAACCAGATGATGTGTGAACTTTTGTTAGATTTCTTCAAATATACAGGATGGTATTGGCTGCCATTGTCTAATGCCTAGACAGACTCAACCGGAAAAGCTCTTTTGTAAGTAATATCCATTTCATTTTTAAGATAGTCAAATATAATTTTAATAAACTAAAGAATGAAATGATTTGTTTAAGGCCGATATTATCATGATCAAAGTAGCTTTCTCCACTGTTCAAGCAACTTGAGATGTAGATACAGGCATTAACAGTATATAGCGATATACAGGGTGTCTCAGGGTCAGCGTCCATTAGAATGTTTCCAGAAGTAATGCGATTTGAATCCCGCAAATATGTATAATGGGATTTTAGGAGACGATGTTTTCAGATGAAATAACAGTAACATTATGCGCTTTCCAGTTATACCAGAAGTTGTCTCAAACCTACTTATTTTAAATGAAGCACCCAAATGCCCGTGTGCTTTAGCGTAGGAGGTGCAAATTTTTAAGTAAGCGAGCGCAAATATTTTTTTCCCAAAATTTCAGGTTTACAACTCGCGTACAATTTTCAATAAAATGTTTCGATTTTCGTCTCCAAAAATGCATTATTAGCGCTCAAATACATCTAAAGTTTGCCTACAGTATAACAATTCTAAATATTTTTGAACATTTAAATGCGTTTAGAAGTGTGAAAATTCAAAACCTTTTTGACTTAAAAATTGGATATCCGGCCTTCAAACCTTTATAACTTTCCAGATTTCTAACCGAGTTTAGTTTTCTCAACCATAATTTTTAGGGAACATCAACGCAGTTTCATTTCGTATCAGCAAAGAAACTGCGATTTTCGTGTCTCGAAATGCTTGTTTGCTGGAAAATTTTTTGCTCGATGTTCGAAAAATAATAAATCTTACGGTTCTTAACCGATTTGAATTGCCTAAAAAGCCGGTTTTACAGAAGATTGTGCTCTTTACAACCCTGGCTTAATGATCGAAATGGGGCCAAGATTAAGAGAGTTTTTAAGAGAAAAACGTCCACAGCTGAAAAAATCCTAATATTCGGGTTTTCGACCCCAAGAGAAATAGACGAAAGAACATGGGAAATACGCGAAAAATTCTTACTGAAGGAAAATGCCATGATACTTAGATCCATTTTTCATCAAAAATCCTTCAAGAACCTTTCAGAACGCATTTTATTATATTAGAATAGCGAAAAATTGAAGAAATTTCAAAAACTGTTATTAATTCAGTTAATCTAGATTTATTTTTCGGATAATTAATTATCGAGCACAATAACATCTAATTTTGCAACTAAGATTTTGAGTTTCACTCTTTCATCTTTGAAAGAATATTCAATTTTATGCAACACCTTGTTAATGATAAAGTTTTGAGAAAAACTATATTTTGCTCAAAAACGGATAGAGTAGGATAGAAAAACTTTTCATTCAAAAGTTATTGAAAATAAAGAAAGGAACACAAGAAAAAACATTATACAGGGTGTTTCATGTAAAATAGCGATGTTTGAAACAACTTCCGGTATAACCGGAATTCGCATTATGTCGCTGTTATTTCATCTGAAAACTGCGTCTCCGAAAATTCGATTGTTCAAATTTGCAAGATTCAAATCGGATTACTTACCGAAATATATGCTACACCGTGAGACACCCTGCACACACTGTGCACTGGAAACATATTCATGAAAATTTTTTACATAATTTTCATGCATGTAGCAAACATGTTTGCACTCGCAGTTGATGTTGTGTGTGTGTAATATTTTGAAACATAACTTTGATTGCATTTTGATATGAATGCATATATTTGATTAGGACCCTATAAGATTATCGTTTTTAGTTCGGATGTTAATTTAGGATGATATTTTCTCATCATTTTCTACGTTTTAATCACTCGTCAAGCCATCATTAGCGCTATCGGATCCTGACTGGTTTAAATGTTTGATCGGGTATACCTACTTACACAGTTTCAAATCATTCAATTATCTATTCGGTTTTGACTGATTTTATGAAATAATTTGTCTAGTTAAATTTGGTCTCAACTCGGTTTCAAAATGCTTATGTAGGTACTTAGAGTCGTATTTCAAACTTGCTAATTTTTAATGGACTTTACGTTTGTTCAGTTGGATAATTCAGGAATAAAATCAGGTATAAAGTTGTTAGGCAATATTTCATGAGTTTGATCAAAAGTTGAAATAGTTGTCACGTAAATGGGACACCCTATATCCTAAATATGGACGAGAAAATTAATGAGTAATTGTTAATAAAAAGTAATTAATTGATTTTAATTTTAAATTGAGTAAAATGCTTTCCTGTACTTGTCTCACATTGTTGCAGTTGGTAATTTTCAACGTGGTTGGTAATTTTTAAATCCGTTAAAGAAACTTTAAACTTTATCGACGGCTAGAACCGATCTTCAAGTAATCCGTCCCTGAAATTGGATGAGAACATGTTCAAATAAATATAAGCCAACACTTAAAATTACAACCGAGGTTTTTGGAAATTACTAGTTGTTTTCTCAAAACTATCAGTTTCTCCTCCAGTCGATAAAACAATATAATAATACCATATTTTTGATCGACTTCTAATATACAGGGTGTCCTACTTATATATTTTGCTTGAAACGAGACATTTACTCTCATATGCATCTCTATTAATTCAATAAGTTGTCTTTGGAATGAGAAAAAAGGAACTAGAATGGTAACAAAGTTGAAGTTAAATTATGTATTGGCAATTTTAATTGAAATTAAAAAAATTACAGTTTGGTTTACATTTTTCGATTCGATAAAACAAGCAGGTAAAATAATTATTTAGCGATGGACTCTCAAAGTTCATATTGCTTCGGATGTGTGTTCGAATATCGTATGTAGATATTTGCCTTTAACATAAACATCTTTACAGTACCTAACTTCTGTAAAAAGATCGTTCATCCTAAATCAGTAACACAATAGAACTATAATAAAAGTAGAACAAACTCTAGTATTTCGGAATAAGAATTGTTGAGTATTATGAACTATTATATTTTCTCATAGACGTTTTCTTCACTTTATTGCGATTATATCACACATACAAAGTTAAGAGTTGCAAGAGCATTTTGACGTACCTAATTATCAAAACTGAAAAAAGCAACTATACCAGGTAAACTGTAGAAGTTTACATGTGAAATAATTGCTTACCTTGAACGGTAGTGTGAGATAATATAGTGATATAGTTAGCCTACATTTCATTAGTTGACTTTTTATTTTCATACTTGCTTTCCTAATAAGCCTAAATTAGTCCAATTTTATAAGTATAAGTAGATTAGAGTGAATAGATTTCTTTGAAACAAACTCCGTTCCATATTTAACAGGTGTGCTGTTGATTATTCTTGTTACTTTTTTTAATAGAAATTTATTTAGGACTTGTAGTTAGGCATGAGGAACTACGACGTTGTTACCTACATGTAACTTTTAATGTATCACAAAGTATAATTGTATGTTTATGTAACCGTAATACTTTTCGAACATGAATTAATTGTCTTAGTTGAAAGCTGTTGTAATCTAAACATATTTTCTACTCTGAACTACCTTATAAGGATAAATATAGAAATTAATTCCATAAATAACGACGTAGTAAGAAGTAGGTATGTGGTACAATCTAGTTTCAACTCTATGTTATAACTCCGAGATATTTAGCTTCAGTTCGACGTGCAAATTATTTTCAGCATAATTCACAAATATTAACTCTAATTCATGTTATCTTCATAATAGGATATTTTTTCCTTTTTGACAACCACCATATAGATAACACGTCTAAGAAGTTGTTCGATAAAAAACTATTGGCTGTGTGACTTCAAACAAAAAGTGAATGTTAGTATATAAGCACCCAACGTTCCTTACCTCAAACCCCACATCGACCTATAGCCACCCCAGTAAAATTCCAAAATTATCCTGCAGATTTCTCTAAAATAATCAATTATCTTGATCTTAAATAATTTTTTGACAATCAATTGACTGGAAAAAAATTCAGAATATAAAATTAACATTATTCATCCAAACGGTGGTAAACATGTATTAAGTTATAAGACAACTGAATGTGATATGAACGGGATGGCTTATGTGTAATTGGTGTTAACGCCAAATCGTCAAACTAGAATTAAGTAAATGTAATTTTACAATGAATTGTGCTGATCATAATTTTAAAATAATTCTATGTAATTAGCAGTTAAAAATAGCAGATAAACTAGTGATGAAATCTAGCCTTAACAGTCTTTAATACTTCGTGTATAATCTATGTGCCAACTTTGAGTTATTTACCAAAATGTCGATATTAGCAGACGAGACGGCTTTATGTATCTCCCTGAGTGTATTAATTCATTATTTATAATCTATCACGGAACACTAATTTATCCTAAATATTTAAATGTCGTGGCATCCTGAAAGCACCAAATTTTGGTAAAAAACTTGAAGTACTTAATAGTAAAAGGATTACGTTAGTTCTACATCAACAAATTATGGCTGTTGGTGCCTGTAACTTTAAGCGGTGGCGTGGTAGACGTAAAAAATATCGATAAGTTATGAATTTTCGATGTAAACAGGGCCTTGGACATGAAATATTTCAAGTTTTCTAAAACGAAGTAACTAAGCAGTCATTCTGATCAAATACCTCTCAATGCAAAAACTTTAATAATGTATGAAATTGAGTTCTCTTATGGCCAATGGCTTAAAATGTGAGTCATTG